ACCTATTCATAAGGATCTCAGTTCCATCCACAAGCTGAGATGATATTGATCCTCCTTACACCAATATGAACATTACAAACCTATTCTTGGGTTGAAAGACCTGGGGTGATGCTCCAGATCCATCAACGAGTGCTCCAAATCTTTTTACAAGCTGAGATGATTATTAGATATAGTTATATGTTATTGCATAGAATTATGAATAGATATATAGTTAAGTTAATTTTAATAAAATATTATATTATATTAATTATCGATCTAATTTTATTATTTATGAATGAATATATTAAGTGCTATTTATATGAATTAAATTTTAATATTAAAAAATAATTATTTAAATTGAATGAATTGCTATTTTTCAATAAAAAGATAATAACACTTGAAATTATTCCAGTATCAATCTATTAAAAAAGTCACCATACTATCTCGTGAATACTAATTATAAGTTAATCAAACATGCTATTTTCTTAATTATTTATTTGCGCGTGTTATTTTACTTAAAAAATTGTCTTGACCTTGCGAAGTTAGCAAAGCACTCCGTATTAAACTAGAAATAATTGGTAATCAAATCGTTGACAATTGGCGTGATAGCCACCTTGCCGTGCCTCAGTTTTAAACCTGTTTTTGGACAGAGTCATGAGTGGTCTTGGACACGATAGCTCCACTGAAAAATGAATTTAGCGAGGGAAAGGGCCATTGGAAAGATAAATTTCTTTTTTGGAATTATTCGGAAATAACTTGTGGGATAACATAAAATTATTTTCCATTCAGTCTCTTTTAATTTTTTTGAATAAAGAAAATAAAAATATGTTCATTTATAAAGAAAAAAAACTTTTTTACCAAAAAAAGAAATACAATAAAATTCTGATCATTTTTCATTAAAAAATCGAAACCATAATTTATACATGTTATCTTAACATTTTATATTTACAAAAACTTAATTTTAGATCATTGATTTTATTTTATTTAAATTTAAAATCATCATAAAAATTTTATATTACTCACTAAAAATATATTTATATTAAAAATTAAATTTATAATGCTAACTAAATATAAAGAAATTATATTGTTAAGAATGCTTGTATATATATAAAAAATATTGTTTATGTTTTTTTTCATTTGAAAAATAATGAGAATTTTATAAAGAAATAAATTCAAATAACTAGTTTCTTAATTTTCTAAATAAAAAGATATTATATTTAAATAAAATTTCTTCTTTTTCTAGACTTTAATTTTTTAATAAATAATAAAGTATTAGTTTATTCCATGACTGTCTCTAACGTGTGGGCAATGATTGTTGGAGTTAAAAACAAGCCTTGACAAGGGAGGACTATCCATAGTGATGAGCACATCATGGTGAACTTGTTCTGCCTCCCCACAAGATGCATTCCAAAACCAACACGGCATGATGCAAAAATACGAGTTATTTTTTCCTCCTGCCTTTGAAGTCAATTGAGTCCATAATAACATAATTTATTACAAGAATTACATTATTACATTGCAATTACATCATTTACGAAAAGATCTAGAAAAAATACTATAGCAAGCAATCTACATAGTCAGAAAAGATTTTATTTTCATCCTCAAGTTTTTTTTCCTTTTCAATTGTAGTCTTCTATGCTTAAATTAATGATTAATTTTTCAAAATTTATTAAAGAGTCCATGATTTAAATCACAAGTTTGATAGACTTGCTTGAGTTAATTAAAAATTAAATTTTTTAATTTATTTAATTTACTTTATATGAAGTTATATTTGTATAAAAAAAAATATTTTGATATTAGATTGATACTTGATTTTGTAAGTATCTATTTTTGTAAACGTATAATTAAATAAAAAATAATTTACAAAAAAATTATTAAATCTACTAGTGTCTAAGACCAAAGTCAGCGGGTTAAGTTGTAAAACTTAAATCGATATAATATATTATAATCTTAATATTTAAGAAAAAAATATTGTATTGGAATATTTTTTTAGCTAAATCATATTTTTATTGATCATTTGAGTTGTTTTTCAACCTATCTAGTTAATTAGATAACATCTAGGCATGTCTTACATGATTTCAAGAATAACTTATTACATTGATTTGAATGATATTGTTGAAGAGTTTCCAATAACTTGAATATTTTTTTATGTTAAAAAAATTTACATAATTTACTAAAATATCTAGGAAAAATAAAATTATGTGAGAGTCCCTAGAATTTTATTAAATAGATCTAGAGTTATTTAAAGATTTATCACCTGAAAATGTAATCTTCTTCGCATTTGAATAATTCTTTAAAGATTTGGTTGTCACAAATAATAAGTCATCCAATTATCTGACCTCTAATAGTTATCCATATGAATCAATGATGAAAAATCTTGTAAGTTCCTATTTGTTAAGTTATGTCTAAAGTGTTAGTTTTAATTTTATGTTCATGTAGGTTTTTTTTTTCCCTAACATAAAACCTCATTACAATAAAAGGCATAGCTTGTTATTTATTAAAAAAAACAAAAAAAAAACCCTATATATTGGTAAAAAATCAATTTTACAGGTCCTTATTTGATTTTTATAGGTTTAGAAATATAATTCATCTATTAATTATATTATAGTCCTTAATTTCTAAAATATATTTTAATCAAGTTATAATTAAATCATCTTAGTTTAATTTCTAACTAATTATTCTTAATATGTGTGATACATTATATTTCTAATTTGTTAGTCTAAATATAAATTATAATTATAATAAAATAGAATAAAATAAGATAAATAATTTAACTTATTATCAATTCAACAATTGATTAATTTATATTTAAAGATCAGATGCATCATCTAGCAATATGTAATGATTTCTCAAATATTAAAAAATTCACTAGTGGTTTGACTTTACCTTTCAATAACCGGTTTCTTAGTGTAATTAGTATCATTCCATCAATAATATTTTAATTTAACTTTAAAGTATAGAATATATCTATCATATTAAATCATGTTTGTTCTCTACATAATAGTCATTAATTGTTTGAATAAAATTTAAAATCCTTTTTAAATTTCATTCCATTTTCGATAAGGATTTCTCAGTCAATGCTATTTGATAACAGATAAAATATTTTTTTTTATTCACTTAGGGTGATGAATCTTCTCTTAATCACTCAAGTACCTTCATATAGTTCATATTATACCTAATGTTTGTCTTTTCGTTACCTCATCATATAGTTCATATTATACCTAATATTTGTCTTTTCGTTACCTCGATTAAGATAACATGTAACAAGATTAAAACATAACATTATAAATATAAAATAACTTAGTGATTTCAAGTCTAAGAATCCTTTACACAACCATTACATAATTTTTTTCATAGACATAGGTAATCTAGTCATATAAAATTCTTAAGCATGTTAGTTTAATATATATATATATATATATATATATATATATATATATATATATTATGACAAACACTTACATAGTAGTTCTATATATCTCTTATATATCAGTTTACGAGAATAAACTGATTCATTTAAAAAAAAAAAACATAATATGTATTAGTTTCTATGGTTCTAACAAATATCTAGTATTTAAAGAATATTGGCCATAAATATTCTAGGAACATTGCTTTGATATAATAAAAATCACATCATTATAACTTTCTAATTTTGTTTGTATAACATCTTTGTCTTGTAAATTTTATCTTTACTACAAAATTTTTAATTTAATGTTATATAAATATTATAGATAAATTAAGTTTTTATTAATAATAAATATATATTTATATATAATTAACTGATTAGATAAAAAACATATTAAACTAACCTGATTTTTTTTATGGATGTAAGGGTATAACTTGTACCAAAACTTAGTGTTCTATTTTCTTGTAACATTTTGGTTGTTTTCCTGTCAATCTCCACCTTTATAAGTTTGTTTTTAAATTAATTTAAATTGCATGGTTGGTTTTTTTATTTTAACTCTATTTTCGTAACAACAATGAATTAAAGGTTGCCGCAGTGGCACTCAAATCTTTATTTCTTCTGTCAAGGAAATTGTGTTGCCTTAATTATTGTGTATCAATGAATAAATTCTTCTTATTTTCAGTCTAAGGTTACATGAATAATATATGTCTTTTCATGCCAATTTATATCCGACAACAGCTTCAAAAAACACATTTTAACCTAACACTTTGGAAGAACTTTTCATTCAGCAACAAAATGTAAACCAAAACAAAGCTTTTCTTCTACATATATTCTCTTGAAACACCTCTCTCTTTCTCTTTTTTTTTAGTGTGTTTGAAAATATAATCGTAGTTATATTTAAATTATTTTTTATTAAAAAATACATTAAAATAATATTTTTTATTTTTAAATTATTTTTGATATCACCACATCAAAATAATAAAAAACTAAAAAAATTAATTGAAAGTAAAAAAAAATTAAAAAAATTTAAAGTTTTTTAAAATATTTTTGAAATGTAAAAAAAAATAAAATGACATAATTAAAAATGTAGTAAAAATCATGTTCTCTCAAATTTCAAATTTTTTTGTTAAAAATATATTTTTATATTATTTTGATACGTTGATATTAAAAATAATTTTTTAAAAATAAAAATATTATTTTAATATATTTTTAAATAAAAAAACATTTTAAAATATAACCCTCACCGTAATTTTAATTACCTAATAAACCGACCATGCACTAACTAGCTTAAAAAGCATCTTAGACACGCCAAACTACCAGCACTATTACTACTTTCTCATGATTCCTAGTGGTAAAATTATAAGAGTTTGTGGACGAAGGCGTGATCTTCGTCATAATTGGAGGACTGATATGGAGGTTGCCCAAAACCGAAAAGGAAAAAATAACCCAGAATTAATGTAGTATTGGCGGTAATAATATATAGCGCTCTGAAAATAATTAATGAAGAAAAGAGAGAGAAAGAGATTAAAAAAAGAAAGTGACAGGGATGGGGAGAGTTACAAAAAGTGTCGACATAATCGTGCTCATTCTCTACCATAAAGTGGCAACTGTAGAAGCCACCTCTTTGCATTCCCTCGGCTTTCGTCAAACAATGTCGACACTCTCCCATAATCCCCATGAAAATATTCCCACTCTCGCTCTCTTCCTACATATTTCTGCAATCCCACAGTGGCGCTACACGCAGGATAAGACTTTTCCTACACCCTTTCTCTCTTTATGATCGCAGCTTCTGCTGCTTTTCTCTTTTTAATATTTGGAATTTGTGTTTCCCCATCATATTTCAACCTCCTTATTTATACTCCCCATATTCTCTTTCCAAATTCCCATGTTATTCATCGAGGTTGGTAGCTAATATATTTTCCTGTTCTCTTATAAAATACTTGATGTTTTTGTTGATTTTGGCTTCTTGGGATTTGTAACAGGATCTTTGGGAATTGCTTTACCTGGATCATTTCCAATCACAAGCTCAAGCCTTTTCTGGTAATTTCTCGTAATTCTAGATTCTAACACTCGGATTGGGTTTTCTTTTTCCTGTTCAAGCAAGACAGAATTTGGGGTCTTGGGTTTTGTTTATTTATGTCAAGAATGTTTTGCAGTGTTAATTTCTTGTGTTGTATCCTTAATTGAACGCAATCCTATGTTTTAGCACTTCCGAAATTGTGAAAAGATGCTTGCTAAAACCTCCACTTTTTTCTTTTCATTCAAAGATGATGCCTTGACTTCCGAAATTGTGAAAAGATGCTTGCTAGTTGCTAAAACCTCCACTATTTTCTTTTCATTCAAAGATGATGCCTTTTGTTTTAGTGCTATTTGTTGTGTTGTAGATCTATAATTGAGTGGAGTTTTCTGTTTCACGACTTCGAAATCATAAAGAGTTGTAACCTTCACATTGATTGTTGCCAATTTAACTCAAAGCTAACTTATTTTGATTTTGATTTTATAACGCAGACGTTGTAGTTGAAGCAATCTCTAAATCAATGTCAAATTCTACCTGTGGATCCTCCGAACTGGAAATCTGCAGAGATGACTCATCAGCACTCATTCTCAAACTCATTGCAATAGCTTCAATTCTCTTTGGTGGCATAATTGGCATTGCAATACCGATAATCGGAAAGCACAGCCACTTCCTCAAGACCGATGGTAGCCTCTTTGTGTCTGCAAAGGCTTTTGCAGCAGGCGTAATTTTAGCCACCGGTTTTGTTCACATGCTATCAGCCGCGTCCGAGGCCCTTTCGGATCCTTGCTTACCTGAATACCCGTGGAAGAAGTTCCCATTTTCAGGGTTTTTTGCTATGACGGCTTCTCTGCTAACTCTGCTTCTTGATTTTGTTGGGACCCAATATTATGAGAGGAAGCAAGGTTTGAACAAGGCTAGTGAGGAGCAAGTTCGAGTCGGGTCGGTGGATGCGAATCCGGGTCATGAATCAGGTATCATGCCCATTGTAGAAGTTAAAGAGTTGAATGGGTCTAGTGGGAAGGTGTTTGGTGAAGAGGAGCATGGTGGGATGCACATTGTGGGGATGCATGCGCACGCAGCACACCATAGACATAACCATCCTCAAGGGCAGGATGCCTGTGATGGGCTTGTCAGCAGTCGTGACCATGGGCATGGGCATGGGCATGGGCATGGGCATGCGCATGGATCTGGGCACGAGCACGGTCATGGGCATGGAGAGAGTGATGTCACTGATGTGGAAAGTGGTTTGAGGCACGTTGTCGTTTCACAGGTAAGCATGTGGTTTCTTTCTTTCTGTCTTTCTTGCACGGTTGCTGTACTTGCATGCAGTGGCCGCTGCTGTGTAAATTAGCGATCTTAATGGTAGTTTTGGGTTTATGTCACTGTACAAAGTGATTAACGTCAGCACCCATATTCAATGATGCGGGGCCCACAACGAATGGTCAATGATGTAATTTAGGTGGCGCGTGTATCTCTTGCTTGGTAAATCTGCGAGTAATTATTAGGGTAAAGTAGTCGCAGCTTGCAAGGATTGTTCAATTCGATATTTTCTTTGTTTATGGTCTATAGTGTTTGGTCGGCAGTGACCTGATTAGTCGAAGGTACTTGCACGGCTAGTCCAGCCCGATGTTTTTATTTTCTCATGTCTAATCAAGTGTCCACTTGTCCCCTTGGTGAAGTTGCGTCTGGCTTGAAAAAAGTAGTTTTGCCAGACAAACGTATAGTGTGTTATGATGGTTGGTGAAGAACTCGCTTCTTGCCGACTGTGAGCTTGATGCTTTTTGTTTTGGTTTGCTGTGCAGATATTGGAACTTGGGATTCTCTCACATTCTGTGATCATTGGGTTATCTCTAGGAGTTTCACAGAGTCCGTGTACCATAAGGCCGTTGATTGCGGCACTATCATTTCACCAGTTTTTTGAAGGATTTGCGCTTGGAGGCTGCATATCCCAGGCACAATTTAAGACACTGTCGACTACAATAATGGCATGCTTTTTTGCCATAACAACCCCTGCAGGAATCGGCATTGGGACAGCCATTTCTTCGTTTTACAATCCGAACAGCCCAAGAGCATTAGCCGCTGAAGGCATCTTAGATTCTCTGTCGGCCGGGATTCTTGTTTACATGGCTTTAGTGGACCTAATTGCTGCTGATTTTCTTAGCAAGAGGATGAGCTGCAATTTTAGACTTCAAGTGGTGTCTTATTGCATGCTTTTCCTCGGGGCTGGATTGATGTCTTCACTTGCAGTCTGGGCTTGAGTTTATTGGTTTTAGATGAACTGTTTAGTTTCTCTCGTTTTGGCCCTTTCTGGGTGTTCACTTCAGAGCAGAATTTGCAAAAATTCGTCCATCGATTTTTTTATTGCTTTTAGGAAAAATACAAGAAGATATAGGGAGAAAAGAACCAGAAGCTATAGCCTTTGTTTTTCAGATTCATGAAATCACATGTATGTACGACAATGGAGGGAAAAAAAAGAAGATCAAGCGGCGATTCCACCAGCTGTTGGTGGACAAATTCATGCATAACCAAAGCTGGCGTCTGTCTTGTAACGTGTTCTTTTATACGCACTTTCTGAGCTGAAAGCAGTACATAGCAAGATTATCCCTGGCTTTTGTTGTCAAACCTCAACGATGAGGTCCTGTAATGGAGTTAAAGGAGCTAGCTACATGCCTAGCGGACCAGAATTTTAATGGCCTAGCTTCCAATAGTAATAAAGCATGACTTGGCTGGATTGCTGCCATAACTGGACCTGTTTGGTTGAGTGTGGTTTAAAAAAATAAATATTTTATTTAATAAAAATTATAGTTGAAATTTATGTATAATAAAAAAAATATTTTATATTTTAATAAAATGTTTTTTCTATTTGTTTTTGTTTGTATAAAATATTTTTGAAAAAATTTAAGTTTTTTTATTTTTTTAAATTAATATATATTTTTAATATTTTCAGTTATTTTGATTTAGTTATACTAATTTTTTTAAAAAAATATTATTTTAATATATTTTTAAATTAAAAATACTTTAAAATTCTCAAGTAAATATTTATGATATTCAGTTAAAAAACATGTAAAACTTGCATAAAATTACATTATAAATCTATTTTTTTAGTGGACCCTGCTTTTAAAATGCAGTTTGATTTATTATCAAATACATTATAGTATTTGTTATTTGTTTGTTTCACTGTTAAATGTAAAAAATTAGCAAAAAATAAATGCACTCTTTAACTATAAGAAAAGTTAATTATAGGCAAGGTTACCCGTTTAATGTAGCTTAGGAATGGGGATTAGATTAGGAGCGATCTAAGGATGGACTAGATGAGTAAGAAGCGCTATGTTATGCGTTAAGAGTCAACTTAAATATTTTTGAACAAAGAAAAATATATTTAAATATTATTAATATTTTTTTCTCAAGAAAAAAGATAACAAATTGTGTAAGGGTTTACTTAATATAACTTGATTGATTTTTAGTACTGAAAAAAATTCATACAAACTTATGAAAATAATAATTAACTAAACATAATTTCATGATTATATATTTTTTTAATATTAAAATAACAATATATTGTATTGACTTGAAACAACCTGGATTAATGTGTCAAATTTGTGACTCGACTATGATAAGTCTATAGAAAACAAATGAAAATAAATTATAAAATCTAATTTCCAATTAACTCAATATTAAAGGATGAAAGTGAAAAAAATCAATTAAAAAGAAACTTAAAAAATATCATGAGTTAACATGTCAAACTTACCATATCATAAGAATAAGATAATCTAATGAAAAACAAATTAAAATAAATTACGAATTTAATTCCCCAACCAGCTTAATATTGAAGGATGAGATTGAAAAATAAATTAATTAAAAAAAACATAAAAAACAACTTAAGTTAATAAACAAAACTTATGATCTAGGTCATTAGACTAAGATAACCTTATATAAAAAATAAAAATAACATAATTTAATCTGGATTAACTTATCAAATCCGTGACTTTGATCTTGAGACTGATTGAGATAATCCCCTAGAGAGAAAGTCAAAATAAATTATTAAGGTTGATTCTTAATTGTTCATATCAAACCTAATGTTGAACGATGAAATTTGTAAGAATTTTAATTAAAAAAATAACATAAAAAGTAAGCAAAGTCAACCCAAGTTAATCGTTAAACATTATTTCTAGGTCATAAGAACATATAATTTAATAAAAAAAAACCGAAATAAATCATGAAATTTAACTTTTAATCAAACACAATATTAATTTATAAAATTGGAAAAAAATTGAATTAAAAAAGAGAAAAAAATGAGTTAATTTGGTTAACATGTGACCTAGGTTATAAGAGAAGAATAACCCAATAAAAACTAACTCCAATATTAAAAAACTTGTGACTTGAATTATGAGACCGATATAACATTTTAGAAAAAAAAACAACATAATTAAACAAGGGTTAAAATGTCAAAATTTGTGATCTTGATCATGAGACCAAGATATTTTAATAAAAAGCAAATCAAAATAGATTATAAAGCTTAATTTCCAACTGACCCAACGTTGAATAATAAAATTAAAAAACAAATCAATTAAATAAAAGACACAATAAAACAATTTGAGTCAACTTGGATTAATCTATTAAGCTCTGTTCTTGGGTCATGAATAATGCTTACTGAGAAGGGGTATAATAAAACCCCCTTCTTTTTAAGTTTATGGTTAATAATAATCATACCTTAGTAAAAACACTGTAAACAAATCTTGATGATGGGGGCACATGCATAATTTTTATAGGGGGATCATGAGAGACTAATAAGATGTCTACACTAAACAAAGATAACTTGCTTATTGGTTATTACTTTGCTATGAGTTGACAATTTTTGTAAGTGTAAAAAAAAATGTTAAGAGCATGAAAGAATTTTTTGGTGATGTTATTAAACCCAACCAAATGGATCAATCTTGAAATCTCTTGACTCAACTACTTGCCTAACTTAAGTTGCCAATTAAATCACGTGGGAGCTAACATGACATGAATCAGCCAATTTTACAAGATCAAATGCGACTTTAATGATCGATAAAAATATAGTTTTACTTAAAAATATATTTTAAGATGATTTTTTTAAAACAATAGTAAGACGACGCCATATTGAATTGACCTTGGTCACTCTATAACTGGGGTCATTGACTCCATTGGGTTTAATATTGTTTTTTGTAAAAATATTTTTATTTAATTATATGATAAAAAATAGATGTTCGCAAAATTTAGCATCTATCCAAAAAATAGATATTTTAATTAAAATCATGATAAATTTATAAAAAGCAGAAAAAATAAATTATGAAGTATATTAAAGAATGAAAAAAAAATATCAATAAAAAAATTAAAGTACTAAAAACTAAAAAAAAATAAAAAATATTAGGTTTAGTGATTAAACCCATCGAATTCATGAATTGAATAACCCGAGTCAACACGTGAAGCCCACAAACTTGGTCATAGACTCCATTGAGATTAATAACTTGTTTTTTTTTTAAATATTTTTTTATTTAACTATATGATAACAAAAATAGACAATCATAAAATCGAGCACCAACCCAGTACTAAGATGTTTTTTTTGAGATCGTGATGACCTCACAGAAAGAGAAACAAAATAAATTAGGAAACTCAATTTTCAATTATTCCAATTTCAAAAGATAAAATTGAAAAAAACTAATTAAAAAATATAGAGAAAAATTAAATTCCAAACTCACGAATTAGGATAATCCGAGCTACCTTGCCAAACCTGTAACCCAAGTCATTGACCCTACATAGTTTAATATCTCTATTTTTTAAAAACCATTTTTTATTTTACTAAATGTTAAAAAGTAGACAATTGCAAAATCAATCATCCACCCAATGACGAGATGTTTATTTGACATCACAATGACACTATGAAAAGAAAAAATGAAAAGAAACAAATTATAAAGTTCAATTTCTAACCAATTCAATGTTAAATAATGAAATTAAAGAAAAAACATGAAAAAAATCAATTAAAAAAATTAGGATTTGTTATACCAAGTGTTATATAACATAAATCTAGATTAGTAATTTAACAAGCAAAGTATTAAAAAGTGAACAAGATAACAAATACAAAACATATTAGTATCAAACAATAAAGTCCATGTTAAGTTTACACTATACTTATTCTTACACCATTAGTGTAACATTTTCACCTTGATATAATAAACTTAACTAAACATAATAAAAGAGAGAAATATAAATAAACAAGATAAGAACATAAATAAGATAAAAGTTAACTAAATAAAGGAAAGGAAACGAAATGTATAAAACAAGCTATTAATGAAAGTTAAACTTAAACATTACAATAAATACAAAGAGAGAAAGCAAGAGCATGATCTTGATCTGAAAATCCAAGATGCCTAAATGCATGACAAATACCTCATTTTATAGGTCAAAATTGGAAGCTATTGATTTGATGATTAATTGATGAGTGGATGGCCATATCTTGATTTAGTGATGATCCTTATCTTCTTTTCTAAATAAAACATCATTGATATCATCAAAATTTGAACCAAACCTCCACATGAAATTCTAGAAAATTGTTTCAGATTTCCAAGAAAAGAAAATTAAGATCATTTGGACTTCTAGAACTCAAAATATGGGCTGAACATTGAACAATATCTAGGCTGCAGGACAGATTCAAACTTCTTCGTTGTTGCTATAATTTGGGTTGTACACTAAAATTATAGGCATATGTCTTACATTTCTATCCTTTGAGCTGAACACTAAAATTTGAACCAGACCTCCAGATATGATCTAATTACTAAATAGTGTTCTAGTTTGGATTGCACTAACATCCCTTTTCAAAGTTTGGCAATCTCTTTGTCCTTTCAATTTTAGTACTTAAACTTGTTAATCAATTCTTTTATTTATGTGATAGGCTCCATTTAAGATGAACATTTTCCATAAATTAAAGGTATCTTATATTATTAGATATATTATTATAAAACATGCTTTAGTTAAGGAGTTATTGATACTTCAAGTGCAAAATGATGATATAAAACCTTGATA